AATAATTCCTGCCATATTTTTGGAAAATAATATGTCAAATAAAGAAGTTGTCCATACAAGAACTTGTTTGAGATTATTCAATTTGAATGCCAGTCAAATTCTATAGGGTTCAGGGTATAAAACGAGAAAATAAAATTAAAAAAGTTTCCACGAATATCGACTGACTGAGTAATTTAAATCCTCATAAAAAAACCAGCATATACAGGGTAGGCAAATGAGTACATCGATGGCACTTGCGGAAGGCACCCACAAACTACACAAATATATTTAGCACTTTTTATAGAGACAATAACTCAGTCAATTACAAATTACGGAGAAGTAAAAAACAAATTAAATGTGAATTCGAAAAAACTACTTCTTGCAGATGATAAATAAACACACACACATGCGTACTAGTCTGTGAGGTATAAAAACAAACTCCATCAAAGTGACGCAGCACAAAATAAATCTGTCACATCACAAGTGATGCCAATTTGTCACCAAACTTCAAACATCACCCTATCACCACCACAAATAAGTAGCTATAACGAACGCGCTGTTGTTGTTTAGTTTTTTTTTTTTTATTGGCTTTGTGTGCCATAAAAAACCACAAGCACGACAGTATAGCCTCTGAGGGATTGTTGTCTGTCAAAATAATGTGGGATCGCATAAAAAACGGGTGCGCCACAGAAGTTCCTACCCTTTAAGTGTAGTTTCCTTAAGGTAAACTGAACAAATAAATATAGAGATCGGAAAACGAGTAGCGTACAACAGACATGAAAACTCGGCAACCAAATGCTCAATGAAACAGAAGCGTATAAAAAGTTAAATTTCAAGTGGGGAGAAGCACCAGATAAAGTGCAATGCACACCAAAATGTAGTAGAAACCATAGTGAGTAAAACCGACAAGCGACTACATGAGTGTGGCAACATTTGAAAAGGATACACCTTGTGTTGCATCGTTGCACATGCGGCATGCGACTCAAACTAAATTAACTTGGACGTTGAAAATGCCGTGACAGCAGCAAAGAGCGCATAGACGTGCATATATCTAGCGAAAATAAGTGCGTTACAGTTGTTGTTGCAATGCATTGTTTGCTGCAGTCACCAGTAGCAACATGTCACTTGAGTCTATTAAAGTTGCGCCATAAAAGAGCAACAAGCAAGGATAAGATTACACGAGTAGTATATTGAAAGCAAGCGCAATGACGGGTATCAAAAACAAACAACAACTACAAATTTGCTGTAGAATTAAAATACAAAAATGGAACGTTTCCAGTTATTACAGACGAATTCGATTTTAGCAAAAGTTAAAAATTCTAATGCAAAAGTCTCACTTACAGCCAAAAGTTTGAACAAACAGAGCCTTGTATATACAAATTGGTATATGGCGTCAGTTTCCACACAAAGTGAACTTTTATGTCAAGACTTTTAGTTGAATTTCCTCCCAATTTTCGTATGTGTTTGTATTGTTTTGCTTGCGGTTGCTCTTCTGGCTGCGCTTGTTGCTGGTTGCCGGTTGCCTTTCTGGCTGTCAGCAGCAGCCGGCACTGTCAACACGAATTAACATTATGTCATTTGTGAGAATGTTGGAATTTTTAGTTTTTCGTACGGTTGAAATGACTGCCTTCCGCTGTCAGTCGAGTGGAGTGGAAATGCACTTAGTAGTGTGCGTGAGCAATACTCTCTCTATACTATGTACAGGCATATACCACATAAGACTGTGCGTTCAGCAGAATGCGCCAAGGTGATGCCGTCGACAAATTGTTGTGATATTCAATAATTTTGCACAACTCGTACTGTATCACTAAAGGCTTCGAACAAATTATATTTTGTATTAACGAATCCATTTCATCGAACTCATACCAAATTTTCAACTTGAGCTAGAAGTTTTCTTCGTAAACGAAACTCAATATAATATTTTAAGTGATATACAAGATCTAAAAATATATGATTGTTAGTGTTGGAAGCAATTTTAGATGCTTGTAAAAAATTATTAACCGATTTCAGCCATTCTTTGTATACACAAGGTCATTATCGGTTATATGCGAGTATAATTAACTACACAGCAGATACCTGTAGTAACCCTTTCGTCACATTCGATGTAGGTGTGACCATGGTCATTAACTGATCAGATTCCAAATTTTTTTGCATGGAAAGTAAGCAATTTGCTATTTCAAAGTAATAACATACTCAGATTTTTCTGCAAAGGTATAATCGGTATAAAATACAAGTATGAATGGGTAAAGCTCGAATGTAATCAAACTTTTCATACTCTTGCAACTTGTCAGGGTCTAAGCTGGAGAAATAACTTCAGGTGCATAAGGTTTGTAAGTTATAAGGAGTTTAAGGCAAGTTTTCACCCAATTTTATCCATTTTAGGCACAAAGATGCCTCGTTATTATAAAAGCATGCTTGATTTGCATTTTAGACATAATGGAATTTAAATTGATTTACATATATAATATAAGAAATTGCAGTGTTTGTAGTCCGGAACATTTTAACTATTTATTTAATATAAAAATTGATTATTGTTGAATATATATACATTTTATTAGTTTAAAATTGTCAATTTGGCATTAATAAAACGAAATTTGTTTACCTAAATTTAATATAAAATTAAATTTTTCTGCAGAACTGAGCAATTTTTTTAATTTTTGATATTTTTCAAAAATCGTAAGTCATTGTATAGGAAATAACATTAAATCTAATAACCTCTTTGAATTTTTTTGTTTCAGCTATTCATTCTGGAGGAATCATGTCAGCAGTTGGGGCACTTTTTTCTTGGTCGAAGAGAATACATAACAGTTATTTTTCAACATTTTTGTGAAAAAAAAGTTATTAAAATATAGCTGAAATATACCTTGTCATGTTCAAAGAACTTCGAAGTATTCGATCGAGTACTTTCTTTTAAGAAATTCACGAAAATTGCCTAATATTTCATGCGTCACACTGGTATAGCCCCTTAAAGTTCTTACCACGGCGCTTACTTCTGCGATCCCCTATGCCAGACTATAATTTTATGTCTTAATTTAGGGCTAAGTTATAACAATTTAAACATTTTCGTTTAATGACGTTTTATCTTAATTTTTACTAAAGTTATAACAGACAGACAGACAGACAGTCACTCTGATTGATACAAAGAACCGTCAAGGTGAACACAACTACTATAACACCGTCGAAGTGGAACTGTTACCATATACAGTATCTAAACGCTTTTTAATTTTCTAGTGAAATTTCTTTTTCGAAAAATATATTTGAATCATCTTGCTTTATTTCTCGTATTTTTATTCGACTTCCGCTAGTATCTGGAGGTAATGATGACATCGGGTTTGGAGCGTAATATTTATTACACCAAACTCATATTTCTTTAAGAACAATGAACTTTTACAATTGCATCAAATACAATATCTATATAATTTTCTTTATATGTTTGAACCTCTTTCTCCGAGAAATTATTAGTAGATAAGTAACAATTTTTCGGTAAAACGTACGGGCAGATATACCTATAATACTAAATCTACTCAGTTGACTGGTCTTAACCAAAGGTAACATATTTTACAAGTTCATCTCTCAACTCTCCTTTTTTAAAATCTCTCTAATCTTAAAATCAAACAATGCTAATAAATGTACTACAGAAATAAAAAAATTAATGAACTAATGTTTAAGCAATGGATTTCCTTGTGTGGACACGTTAAAAATGTTGCGGTAGGCCTTTGGATGGCCCAAAAACTTTTATAGAAGATACAACGAGTTCATAGTGGGCCGAGGACGAGTTAAAAATGAACCGCGTTGTGAACAACCATCAACCTCTTATGACGAGGGTCACGACCAAACAATCAAAGAATTGGTTATTGGCTTAGAGGTTGTCGATAGACAATTACAGACATCGCTGATAGTGTTGGAATATCATTTGGCTCAGGCCAACTATTTTGAAAAATTCTTCGTGAATAAAGCACGTGAAGTCCCACTAGGTGCCAAAATCGACATTTCATATTGCATTGGTTCCTCGCGATTTATTTACTAAAAACTCCACTTAAATGTCGTATAGAAGAAGGTCTTGAATGCTACTATGCTGAAAAATACTATTCCGACTATTTGGAGGACTGGAAAAAGCGTGGGCAAATTGCGTTTTAGCAGACGGCGATTACTTTGAAGGGGATGAAATCGACTTGAAAGAATAAGTATAGAAATTACATTTTATAATCAAATTCAGCTTACTTTTTGATAACAGTAATACCATGTCGCCGCAAACTAATATACCAAAAGCTCCGTCAGGACCGGGAAAAGCCTCTCCAAATGAAATTTCAGACAAGGCGACTGCCTATAGTACGACTTCATCCATTTACTAATGGATAAAATAATTCGAAATACGGATCTAAATAGAGAAGGTACAATCTCCTATAAGAGTGTACAACGGCTGAAACAAGCAGTCGTCGCACTCCCGAATTGCCTCACACGTCAGTCTTGATAATCATAACTCGAAAATTTCGCATATCTTGTTGTTATTGTAAACGCGTAAGGGGTGTCTACAGAAGAAGAATAATGCCATATATATCCACATTTGTGGACATAAATATGTTTAAATGAGACTTTATATGTATATTTAGCAAAGTATTTTCTCTAATGTTTTTTTGTCGTTATTAGAGTCCATGACCCAGCAACTGAAATCTAAAAATAGAAAATTCAGCTTTTATCACTCATCAAGTCATAATTAACTACACCTTTTAATCAACAATCTGCACTTTTTTTTTTTGATGTCATCAGCTGATCCCAAACCTCAATTAATTGTCAACAAAATGAAAGGAGTGCAACTACTGCAGACGGATTCAATTATCCTTGCATTTTCGATTGCTGTCACAAACACACATATAAAAGCCGTCGGCAAACCCAATTTTGGTGAAATTTCCAAAGAAATTTGAGACATTATATTATAGATGTTTTGCATAAACATAGGCGCACATACATACTTATGTACATATATGAATGCATAAATATGTACTTTGTGAAGATTTACCCACCTAAATCATTTATTTGCGTACCATCCAAATTCTCCTGTTGCTGCTGCTGTTGATGCTGATGGTGCAATCTACCTGAAATGCGGCAATCATTAGCCAATTCCAACAAATTGTTCACGGAGAAACGCTTCACATTCTCCGAATGTTTACTGCCAACGACGTGCAAAGGATAGTTATCTTCGATTTTTGTAAGCTCATCGGGTGAACAGGAATTGCGGCAGCCAACAGTATTACCATTGCCGCTAACGGCAATTCGATCCGTTTGCGGCTGCTGTGTGTGCTGATGATTATGATGTTGTTGCTGCTGCTGCTGCTGTTGTTGTTGTTGATGACGATGCTGTTGTTGTCGATAAGCTGTGCCATCACCGGCGGCGGAGCTCATGTTAATGGTATTGGCATTGCAGTTGTTGGTGTTGTTGTTGTTAGTGTTGTTGCTATTATTGCAATTATGTGCCGCAAATGCATTATGCTGCGTCAGACTGTGCAGATGATCCAACGATGACGCTGGCGCCGATGCCGACGCCAACAATGCAGACGCTGCAGTGACAGCACGACCGCCAACGTTATTAGCGTTATGTAATGTCAACGTGGGCACGTTCACCGTTTGTGGGTAATAGAAATTGTCGGCGTTAGCAATTGAGCCACTCAATTGTGGCATCGCCTGTGGTTGTTGTAGATGCTGTGGTTCGTGATAGTTAAGCATGACTGCCATACAACCACACACACACAAGTGCCACGCAAGCAGATAAAGGCGGCGAAGGAGTGAGCAGCTATTATATGCGGAGACGCGTGCGACGGTTAACAAGTGAAACTCATTAAATTAGCGCAAATCAGTGTCGAATTTCGCTGACTGGACTACAAACTTGCAGAGGCAATGGCCCGACATACATATAAACAAGCAGAAGTGTGCGCAGCAGCGTTATGCCGTTATGTATGCAAGTAGTAGTATTAGCGTGCGTGTGTTTATTTGTCCATTAATTCAATTACAAGTCAATTAATTAACGAAATTGTCGCACGGACATTTGTCGATCTCGATTGGCGGCGACAGCACAACGCCATGGGTGCGCTGCTGCGTGGATGCTAACACAGTGCGCCACGCTGACTAGCTGTCGGTATTAATTTCGAGTCTTTTATTTTGCAGTTGGCGTATTTTTTATATAATTTTTATTTTATCTATTTTATTTTCGCTTCACTTTGGTCAACGCTATTGCGTAATTGAACAGCGATTTTTTGGACGGCGCAATCAGTTGCTCATCACTTTCCGCTGAAGTGTCGTAATTGCGCTGCACAATCACTTTTGATTTCCCACTTTAGTCATTTTACTTTTCACGGCAAGGCTCCCAACAGGTTTATAAATTTTTTGTATATTTGTAAATGCAAAAGTTAAAGCACTTTTTCGCCCATTCGATTGCTGCTTTTCTATTTTTTGCTGAATTGTTTTTTTTACTTTACTTTTTTTTCATTAAATTGATTTTGTTTGTTATTTCGATTTTTGTATTTTCATTTGCAGTTTTTATATTCCACTCTTCAAGTTCCCTAGTGACTTTAATTTGATGTTGGTCTTTCTGCAGGCAATTTACTTTTTTCTTCTCGTCCTAATTCAATTAGCAAAAAACACAAATGAGTTAATTAACTTAATTGCTGTGCAAACACTAAACAATGCCAAAGTCAACTGACTACTGAAATTATTTTCAAATTCTTGTTGGTAAATGAGACGTTTTTTCTTCGCGACGCAGCGCCCCTAGGTACACCTCCGCAACTGCACTCTCATCTCCACCCCTACACCCATTAAATATTTTTACACTAAAGCTATATGCTGCTCTTGTCTCAATCAGATTATCATCTTCTTTTTCAGTAGTTGTGATCCGCAGCGAAAGTATTTACATATGTATACATACACACACACGCACAGATGTATGATCCTCAGCATGTTGATACTTATAGAGGCTCTCTCACTTTCCCATTTAGCATTCTTCTCATTTCAATGGCGTTTCTAAATTTAGTTCGCGTTTTCTAATTGGTTTGTTGGCTCAAGCTAATGTTTATTTTCTTTTAATATTTGTGCGATTGTGTTAGTGCTTAAAAAACCATATGGGCGTTTCTACACGTGTTAACTTCGTTCACGCCCATAATTCCGTTTTAAGTGTTTTTAATTTATGTGTCACGTCATAAGTTAAAAAATAAAAGTATGTGGAAAGATCAGTGAAACCAATGTCAGAGGTTGACAACTTTTGTGGCCGATTGTTTCAAAATGGAATTTAACATATTTGCATGTTTATTGATGGATTCATAAATGCTTAATCAAGCATATATTGCATATTTTATAGTGACTTATAACGAAAAAGTTTTTTTAGAAACAGTGAGGGAAAACCATCATATTGGCATCAAAAAGATAGCATTCTTTTACAGAATGAAACAACAAATTTTGAGGTAGAAGCGTGTCAATGCTACACTCATACCTCTTTTTTTGCAGAGCTCGCAAAAAATATGATTTACAACGTGGCTGAGGACTTTGCACTTATGACGAACCGTGGGTTTACGAACATGACGTCGAAATTGTGCAACTTTCTAGCAAAGGCCGGTCCAATATTAGGCGAAACCGAAAATACAATTTTCTCTGAAGACCATCCCAATGGAGGACATAAGAACGCGGTGCAATCCTCATATAGTAATCAGTCCCAGCGGAGGCTTATAAGAAATTTATGAAAAACCAGATAAAGTGATATAACACATTTTTATCTCAGAAAAAAAATATATGAAAATGTAGTATTCTTTCTGTCTTTCCGTGTTCAATTTGATAAGCCCCATAAAACGATTTGTTTAATTAGGAACACATTAATGATGCCTTACAAATGGTAGTCCATATTGGGTTTTGTATTTGTGAGTTGTAATTAGTAGAAAGAGCAAATGTTCTTAATTGACTGGTTTTCCACTAGTACATCGCTTCAACGCAGTTTCCAGTGACATCAGTTTCTGGCTCTATCTTGGGAATGATTTACTGGATTTTAACCTTTATAACAGTTTATGGATTCTTTAAGTAAATACAGTTCCACGAAAGTTAAAACCTTTTCTTAACAAAAGAATGGTGCTGAAGCAAGATTTTAGAAATTGATCCATTAAAATGTGGTTTATGCCGCATCAGTCTGCTTAAACCAAAGTTATAATAGAGTTTAAAAACCCACGAGAGGGCATCGAAACACGTAAATGTTTCTTCAAACAATAAAATTTAAGCACAATAAACAGCGAAATCGTGAATATGAGTGTGGACCAAGTGATAAATACTGGGTATTAGAGGAAACCAATTTCGGCTATGTCTTCTGGTTCCTCAACATTAGACTTCCAAGAGTTTTTAACCTCAAATCTTGAAAAGTCTGCATAACGGAGGAGAAAGTGGCTGGATGGTTCCCCCTCACGCTCGTCCACTTTGACAACTAGCGGCCGACAACATTTTCGGCCTTACCCCATGAATGCCTATTGGACAGTGCCCAGTAAAATCCCCTAAAAGATGAAATTTTCTAAGGGCAAGAAGTTCAGAAGATTTCCTGTGCTCTACTCTCTATGAAAACGATATCGCAGTTGTACTGGAGATTCGTCATCGACCGTAAGCGCTCGCGAGGTCATCTGAGAAGGGTAAGGATGTCTAGCTTAGACACTAATTGACTAACTTGGAGCGCATTGTTAGCGAACTGTTCTCGGAGTGAATGCTCACCTCCCAGAAAGAAGTTTCCTAACAGTACCTTTACCGGCACTTTGATAGCAGGCACTTTTGTCTGAAAAATACTACAGTGCTCCGGTAGGCTATAGCTAAGGTCGACGGAGAGCTCCTTAGAGAAAACTCTGCCTCAAACCTTCCAAAATCCAAAATTACAAAAAATCATAAATGCTGGCCAAATTTTGAAAAATCTAGGATACTCATTTTATCACACGATCTTAAGAAACACACTAGCCCATAAAGTATAATTGTAAAAGTGAATTCCAGAATTAAAATATTACATTATAATTCACAGAGTACAAATTATGAAGAGCAAGATATTATATTAAGGCCTTTATATGCTGATAAGCTGAATTAATATCCGGAAATGCCAAGCAACTACTTAATTTTGATAGATCACATCCACAATAACAATTATCTTTATATGCAAACACACAATCACACACATTTAAAATATTCCATTACTCATTTTCTCAATATCCTGATATTTGATGTATGAGGTGAAAACTGTCAACAAGTATACTTGAATTCAAGTAGCAATAAATACCAATTAAGATGTCACCAACTATGGCACGCCCCCGACCACATAAGCACCTTACATACATCGTAATAGGACACACATTTTCTGTTAACATATTCTATTTGTCATTCAAATATTCATGTGGTGGAGTGTAATACGAACCAATAAAAACCAAAAAAACCAACGCAAGCACGACAGCACGACAGCAACCAGATGTCCTCAACACATTGGCAAACAACAATGCGCAAAGGGTCCTTGAGAAAAGAAGGAAACCGGAGTCAAATGCCAGCGCATGTTACATATGTGTTTCTAGTTATGTATGTAAGTGTGTACGCATGTGCAATGGGTGTGCGTGTGTGAAATTCATGTCGATGTAACAAAAATATGCGCATAAATCAAAATGATTACAAGCTAGTCATGGCTAATTGCCACAACCACAAATCAATTCCTGGGAGTTGAAAGACGAAATGATGCGGAGAAAATGAAAATTTCCAGAAAATAAACGGATTTGATGTGAGGTTGAGCTAAAGCGTTGAACCGTTGGCGCCAATGCATGCAAGGACTTGTTTGTATGCACAAATATATGGATGAATCAATAATGAATGTAAACATACATACATGTACTTGTATGAACTTATGGTAGTCACATACATATATTGCCCGTATGTCCTTTTGATTTCAGCACGCTTCTACTTCTGCCACTGCTGGATTTTACACGGTTGCCCTTCAGCTTCATTTATATGGTGGTGAAGGAAGTAATGGGCGAGTTCCGAGTTGAATGACTTTAAATTGATTTTTGTGTGTTAAAAGAGTTCGGTCATAGAAATGTTCTTTGGAATGCAAATTGAAAATTAGGAAAAAAAAAAAAATAATATTTAGCAAATACTTTTTCGTCAACAGTAATGATTCTCAAAAAAATGTTCGCCTTTAGGCCAAACTTTTTTTAGATAAAATGGAATTGAGAGCATTTCTTCAAGAGTTTGCTAGTTTTTACAACATTTAAGTAAAAAATGCACCATTCATTCATTTGTAAAGGTATACAATTTCTGTGCCCAAAAAATAAGTTGACATTGTATTTATTGACATTTGTTATTTTTCTTTATTTATTATTTCCAAAAGCATACATATATTTATATCAAATTTGGTTAGCTTTAAAACTTAAATGATTGACTACAAATCTGACTTCAATTTGTTTGCCCCTTAGCCAATACAAACACTTACTAAAACCGGAAAACGAAATTTTTTTTGGTTTGCTCATAGCTATGAAACTATGCACAGTTTTGCAACCTCTGTCTGGATTAATATTCTTGTCTAACTTAGCAAAGCTATAAACCTTAGACAGAGAAGGCAGAGAACGTATATATTAGCACGTATATCAAAGAACGTATATCATACAGAGAACTTAAAGCACTTTATATTATATTTATTTATACATTCTCTGACTGAACCAGATTTTATTTTATTTATGTTG